CAGTTAGGACGTTTCTCCTGATATTTAGCCGGTAACGACTCCCTTGTAATTTCCACCCATTCGATCTAGTCTTGCAATCCGGAGCAAGAGAGGATAGATTCGCTCCACCTTCTACGTGACAGCCCTTCAAATACTTGAAGACTGCAATCGTGTCCCCTCTAAGCCTTCTCTTTCCCAGGCTAAACAGACCCAACTCTTTCAGCCTTTCCTCGTAAGACTTGGATTCCAACCCGCTCACCATCCTGGTTGCCCTCTTCTGGACATGCTCGAGCTTGCCAACATCCTTCCTAAAATGTGGTGCCCAAAATTGGACACAGGACTCCAGGTGAGGCCTGACCACAGCAGACTAGGGTGGAGCTACCACCTCCCATGATCTGTCCCAGAGTCCAGCCACTTCACAACTGCATGGCCAAACCCCCTAACCTACTTTTCAATAAATTAAAGAAAAGGTAAAGGTTCCCTTGCTCAAAAGCCAGTCGAATCCGACTCTAGGGTTGCGGTGCTCATCTCCGTTCCAAAGCCAAAGAGCCAGCGCTGATCGAAGATGTTTCCATGGTCATGTGGCCGGCATGACTAGACGCCGAGGCGCACGGAACGCTGTCACCTTCCCACTGAAGTGGTCCCTATTTATCTACTTGCAATTTCTTGCTTTCGAACTGCTAGGTTGGCAGGAGCGGGAACCAGAGACGGGAGCTCACTCCGTCATGCGGCAACCCCGGGTCTCGAACTGCTGAACTACCGACCTTCCACAGCCTGCAGTTCAGCGTCTTAACCCCTTGAGCCACCGCAGCTCAAAAAATTATTAGGCTGCATGAGGTTGCTTCGCCCTGACCTGGATGGCCCAGCCTAGCCCGATCTTGGAAACTAAGCAGGGTCATCTCTGCTTGGTATTTGGATGGGAGGCTACCAAGGAAGCCCAGGGTTGCTACACAGAGGTAGGCAATGGCAGACCACCTCCATTCATCTCTTGCCTTGAAAGTCCTGTGGGGTTTCCGTAAGTTGGCTGCAACTTAAAGGCAAAAAACCCCAAAGGGTGCTTAGATACAGCATTTGGAACCGACGCTTTTGTAATCCCCCCCCCAACAATTCTGAGAGAAGGGATGCATAGGAAACATGCAAGGATTTGGGTTGAGACACTGCAAGGCGAAAAGTCAAAAGTAACGTAACACAAAAGCAGGTTTGGACATCTCTCGATGCACAAAACAATCACCGTTTATATGCACTGGGTGCACGAAATTGAGAAAGAGACCCACCGCCTCCTGAATGACTCTGCTACTCCGAAGTTTCTTGGGACACAATCCACTACGAAGCCAGTTTGGTGTAGTGGTTATGTGCGTGGACTCTAATCTGGGAGAGCCGGGTTTGATTCCCCACTCCTCCACTTGCACCTGGCTGGATGACCTTGGGCAAGCCATAGTTCTGATAAGGGCTGTTCTTGAAAAAACAGCAGTTTCTGTCAGAGCTCTCTCAGCCCCACCTCCCTCACAGGGTGTCTGTTGTGGGGAGGGGAAGGGAAAGGAGATTGTAAGCCGCTCTGAGACACCTTTGGGTAATGAAGGGCGGGGTATAAATCCAATCTCTTCTTCTTCTTCTTCCTGCGTAAGTCCCATTAAAATTAATGGGAGCCCACATTCATTCCAATTTCATTATTGGGGTATTACGATGCCACCTCTCCGGGGTCCCTGTTCCAGGCAGCCTACAATTAAAACTGTGTCACAGTTTTAAAAACAAGCCATGGGGTGTAAAGCACCTCTGCTTCTTCTTTGCCTTAAAAGCCCCTTCCTAGGGGTCGCCATATTTGGAAGCTAAGCAGGGTCGGCACTTGGATGGGAGGCCACCAAGGAAGGCTCTGCAGAAGAAGGCGACAGCCCAAAGCAGGGGTCATTTTGTAGAAAAAGAGGTGCAGGAGCTCATTAGCATAACTCATTTGCATATGCCACACCCCCTGACATCACCGGAAGTTTGTCGCCCAAATGTTGTCAGAAGGCAACACCCACCACTCAGGCTCCACTGGACTGTTTTGGATTGCTAGGTAAGGGGGGGGGGGGACGTGCAGATCTGTCCTCGCAGAGGAGGGAGAGCTTGGACCTAAATAAAACTTGGTCTTAAAGGTGCCACTGGACTGTTTTGGACCGGGGGGCGGGGGGGGGGCTCTGCAACTTACCTGGCTGCTTCCTGCTCTGACTGAGGGCTGCTGGGAGCAGGGGGCGGGGCTTGTTGCATGTGCCCACCCCCCTGGGCTCTTTACTGCCAGAGAGCCGCTCCTGTGTGCTCCTGCAGGAAATGACCCCTGGCCCAAACCATCTCTGCTTCTCACTTGCCTTGAAGTCAGCCGCGACTTGATGGCACGTCACACACATCCACAAGATAAAACGCCTAATTAAAATCCTCGGCAAAGAGATCAAGATTCAACTCCAGTCGCTCCTTAAAGACCAACGGGATTTCCAGGGTATAAACTTTCGAGAGTCTGAGCTCCCTTTCTCAGATATCTGGCAAAGGGATCTTTGACTCTTGAAAGCCGGTGCAAGGTGAGCCTCAGAGGGGAGTGCATTGCCCCAAGAAGGCTCATGCAAAGGGACTTCAAAGTGGATCGTGGCCGTTGTCTTTTGGTAGACGAATGAAGCAGAGTCACAGCCCCCAACCTCTCAGCGTAACACATGATCCCCTCCCTGGGGGGAGGAGGAGGAGGAGATTGGATTTCTACACCGCCCCTCACTACCTGAAGGAGTCTCAGAGTGGCTCCCCACAACAGACACCCTGTGAGGCAGGTGGGGCTGAGAGAGCTCTCCAGAGCACTGCCCTTGAGAGAACAGCTCTGAGAGAACTTGTGACTGACCCGAGGTCACACCAGCAGCTGCATGTGAAGGAGGAGAGGGGAATCAAACCCGGTTCTCCCAGATTAGAGTCCGCACTCCTACCCACTACACCAGACTGGCTCCTTTCAATCTCCTTTCCCTTCCCCTTCCCACAGCAGACACCCTGCAAGTTAGGTGGGGCTGAGACGGCTCTCTAGAGCGTTGCCCTTGAGAGAACAGCTTTGAGAGAACTTGTGACTGACCCAAGGTCACTCCAGCAGCTGCATGTGAAGGAGTGGGGAATCAAACCCGGTTCTCCCAGATCGGCGTCTGCGCTCCTAACCACTCAACCAAACTGGCTCTCTAGCGCCCGTGGGATCTGTCCAGGGGGTAGGAAGTCAGCAGAGGTGCCCCTTGCCTCTCGTCCTATTTCAGACGTGCCCTCGATGGAAACCCCCACCCGCTACGACGGCGCCCACTTACTCGTCCCTGTGCTGGTTCCGATCGTGTTGATGGTGGCGGGGACGGAGGAGGAGGAATAGAGGGGCAGGTGGCCGTTCTCGCAGCCCAGGCCCTTGTCCTGCCAGCTGGAGGCGTTCACGCATATGCCGGAGTCCCGCGAGCTCTGCCACCCGTTCAGCTTATCATCCGAGTTCTGTCTTTGGTGATAGTAGTGCGACTGCCCGTAATCCACCGAGTCGGACCGGCCCCGGTTCGGGCCGCCGAAAGTCCCCGACGTGCGGTCCTCCAAGTGGTTGAGCCACATGGCCAGGGCGCTGCGGTCCTCCAGGGACGTGGCGGGGTGTATCAAGGCGTAGGAGAGGAGCTGCCGGCTCTCCTCGATGTGCTGGCTGTGCTCGATCGAGTGGGCCAGGATTTTCGGTAGCAGCTTCATGTACTCCACTTTCGCTTCGATGTTGCCCGGTTTCAGCAGAGGCAGGTGAGTGAGCAGGAGAGAAATCACTTTGTCCTTTGATTCTTGCTGCCACTGGTTAATAATTCCTGTTGGGTGGGAGGGGGGGAGAGGGAGAAAATACACAGAAGTTGTGAAAGCGGAAGACGAACAAACCGAGAGATTAAAAATTGGGAATAATTTTTCAGTAGTTTTGCGGCACTGGCCCCCCACGGAACAAGAAAGCCCTAGCGTAGGAAAGAGGGGGAAAGGTTTTAAAAAATAGAACATGCCGGCCAATTATCTGTGAACTTTGTAAAGGTAAAGGTTCCCTTGCTCGAAAGCCATTCGAATCTGACTCTAGGGTTGTGGTGCTCATCTCCGTTTCAAAGCCGAAGAGCCAGCGCTGTCCAAAGACGTTTCCGTGGTCATGTGGCCGGCATGACTAAACGCCAAGGCGCACGGAACGCTGTTCCCTTCCCACCGAAGTGGTACCTATTTATCTACTTGCAATGTCTTGCTTTCGAACGGCTAGGTTGGCAGGAGCTGAAACCAGAGACGGGAGCTCACTCCGTCATGCGGCAACTCGGGGCTCAAACTGCTGAACTACCGATCTTCCACAGCCTGCAGTTCAGCGTCTTAACCACTTGAGCCACCGCAGCTCCTTTGTAGAGCAGGGCTTTCCCATGCCCCCCTTCTAATTCCTTTATTCATTACCTACACCTCACAGGGTTGTTGTGAGGATAAAACAGAGCACAGGGTAACTATATAAGCTGCTTTGGGTCGCCATTGGGGAGAAAGGCCGGATATGAATAAAGTGAATACATTTTAAAAAATATTTTATTTATTATTATAATTACTTATTAAATTTAGTTGTTCTGATGTGGTCAACATGGCTGAAACATCGTTTATTTATGTCATTTAAAGTTTTCCTTTCCTCACAGAGACTCAAGGCAAATTATCAGGAGCTTCATTGTCAGTTGCAATTCAACAGTCTCTCCAATCTCCCTTTGAAACTCCTTTGAAAGAGAACTGCTGCTCTGGGGTCAGCAACTGAAAGCCTTGAAAGGTTAAAATGTCCCCCCACTGGTTTTTGAATGTTGCGGTTTCTAATAGCAGTAGAAAGAGGGTGAGTCCGGTAGCATCTTAAAGATTAACAAAATTTGTGGTAGGGTATGTGCTTTCGTGAGTCACTGCTCACTTCTTCAGACTTATTTCCATTTATTCTTTGGATCCTCCTGGACCAAATTGAGACCTAGGTTTCCTGTTTCATTACCAATGCTGTTATCTCCACACCTACTACCCCCCTGCTTATCACACCTAATCCACTCACGCCTGCTATTGCTATTCAGCATCAGAAATCACCTTTATAAAGTGTATATCTCCGGTACATCATGCTACATTTTATGGCACACATGGCCCGGCCCGACAAAGTGACATTTATGTCAGATCCGGCCCTCGTAACAAATGAGTTCGACACCTCTGATCTAAAGGAAGATTACAAACCAAAGTGGGGATAAAGGGGGGAAGAAGATTCATTCAAAGTTACACACACTGTCGCTTAATGTCAAGTAAAGGGTGGGGAATCATAGAATGTTAGAGTTGGAAGGGACCTTGCAGGTCATCTAGTGCAACCCCCTGCACTCTGCAGGAGCATAGCCAAAAGATAGCCCTAGAATCAAAGTTCCCTCTAAGCTGTGGAGTCTTGTGAGCCAAAATTTGTGAGCTAATGGCATTAAAGTTCTGAGCGAGCGATTTGGCCGCTGCATAAATTAGTTTGCTCTGGAGTCATCCTTCCTGAGCTAAGACAAAAATGAGTGAGCCGGAGGCTAAAAAAACTGTGAGCTAGCTCACACTTACTCAGCTTAGAGGGAACACTGCCTACAATATACCCGAAAGAAGGGAAAGGAGTTTGTAAGCCGCTCTGAGACACCGGATTGCAAGACTAGATCGAATGGGTGGACATTACAAGGGAGTCATTACCGGTTAAATATCAGGAGAAACTTCCTAATTGTAAGAGTGGCTGAGCAGTGGAACAGTCTGCCTCGGGAGGTGGTGGATGCTCCTTCGCTGGACGTTTTCAAGCGGAGGCTGGATGGCCATCTTTCGGGTATGTTGTAGGTATGTAGGGCTCTCTTTCGGCTACGCTCCTGCAGAGTGCAGGGGGTTGGACTAGATGACGTACAAGGTCCCTTCCAACTCTATGATTCTATGAAAGGAGTCCGACCAAAGTGTCCTGAGTAAACTTACTAGTTTACTAAATGCTCTTCCACTGGGCATTTGGTTGAGGTGGCTGCTGTCTCCCCCCCCCCCCTTTGGCCAATCATCCATCAGTGTCCTGGACTGATTAGACACCGAATCGATCTAACATCTGATCTCTCTGCTTTTACACGGTATTTTATGACGTTATTAGGTGCAAATGGTTATCTTAATGTTATTTTCATGTTTAATTGTAATATTTAATTGTTGTACACCGCCCTGAGCCTGTCTGGGGAGGGCGGTGTATAAATCAAATAAACAAATAAAAATAAACCAGAAACGGACATCAGCTTTGGGGCAGAGTCTGGACAAAGAGTGCGGGAACAGCTCAGAGACAGGAATCCTAGAGTAACCGGTCCCCAGCTCGATTTGGAAATCCTTCCGCTTCTGTCTGACCCGATGCTTCCACTGAGAGCCAGCCCAACACCCAGGAGCGAAAACCGAAAAGTGCCACAAGTTGGTGTGGCCAGCAGTGAATGGTGGCACACACTTGCACACAGGGGTCATTTCCTGCAGGAGCACACAGGAGCGGAGCTCCGGCAGTAAAGAGCCCAGGGGGCGGGCACATGCAACAAGCCCTGCCCCCTGCTCCCAGCAGCCCTCAGTCAGAGCAAGAAGCAGCCAGGTAAGTTGCAGAGCCCCCCCCCCCGGCCCCCCAGTCCAAAACAGTCCAGTGGCACCTTTAAGACCAAGGTTTATTCAGGTACAAGCTCTCCCTCCTCTGTGAGGACAGATTTGCATGTTCCCCCCCCCCATAGCTAGCAATCCAAAACAGTCCAGTGGCACCTTTAAGACCAAGGTTTATTCAGGTACAAGCTCTCCCTCCTCTGTGAGGACAGATTTGCACGTTCCCCCCCCCCAATAGCTAGCAATCCAAAACAGTCCAATGGCACCTTCAAGACCAAGTTTTATCCAGGTCCAAGCCCGCCCTCCTCTGCGAGGACAGATCTGCACGCCCCCCCCAATAGCTAGCAATCCAAAACAGTCCAGTGGAGCCTGAGCGGTGGGCGTTCCCTTCTGACACACTTCCGGTGATGTCAGGGGGTGTGAGCCCGCTTGCAGGGAGGGCGGGGTATAAATGCAATTAAATAAATAAATATGCAAATAAGTTATGCTAATGAGTTATGCGCATGAGCCCCTGCACCTCTTTTTCTACGAAATGACCCCTTGCTTGCACATTTAGCGGCGCTAAGGCACTGCCGTGCCTGACTGGCACTTTGATTCTGGGGCCTTCTTCGTGCAGAGTTTGTGATCAGCTGTTCGGCCACGGCCCCTCCCCAGTTCTGTGTCCCGCCACACCTGCGACTATTGCTGTGCTGCCCCTGAAACAGGAGATAATGGGACACCCCAGGATCATCGCCTGGAGCGAACAGAGTGCAAATTCCTCTCGGAGGTAGAGGGCAGGCAACCTGAAAGGCAGGCAAATGCCTCAGGCTATGTGGTAGACTGGGGGGGGGGGAGACCGCAGCAGAAGGAAGGAAGCTGGGACGCCTGCGTGGGAGACAAGAATGCCGAACGGCCTGTGCCACTGGAAAGCCTGTGTGGACAGATCCTGCACTCTGCTACGGCTGTCCTGCGACCGCCTCCCGCGCAATACAAGCGCCGAGCTCTCAACCGCCCCCCTCGAGTTACACGCCCGCCTCAAAACGCTGAGCTTAAAATTCATTTGGCTATTTCAGGGTCAGACACACACGTGCCGAGCTCACGACCGTCCCCGCCCTCGAGTTTCACACCCGCCTCAAAACCATGAGCTCGAAATTCATTTGCCTATTTCGGGATCAGACGGGGAACAACACAGGCTATCTGGGGGGCGGTGGGGCTCAGGGGCAGAGCATCTGTTTGGCTTTCAGAAGGTCTCAGGTTCAAATCCCCGGCATCTCCAGTGAAAAGGACCAGGGAGTCGGTGATGGTGAAAGACCTCAGCCTGAGACCCTGGAGAGCCGCTACCAGTCTGGGTAGACAACACTGTCCTTGATAGGCTTAAGGATCTGATTCAGTAGAAGGCAGCGTCATGGGCTCATGACTGTCAGGGAATGGGCTGTGGCTGAGTGGCAGAGCATCTGCTCGGCGTACAGAAGGTCCCAGGTTCAATCCCCGACATCTCCAGTTAAGAGGACCTGGCAGTAGATGATGCAAAAGACCTCAGCCTGGTACTCTGGTGAGCCGCTGCCAGTCTGGGTAGACAATACGGACCTAGATTGACCAATGGTCTGAATCAGTATGAAGCAGTTTTGTGTGTGTGTGTCTCTGGATAAAGGAGCTGCGGTGGCTCAAGTGGTTAAGACACTGAACTGCAGGCTGTGGAAGGTCGGTAGTTCAGCAGTCCGAGACCCGAGTGTGCCATGTGACGGAGTAAGCTCCCGTCTCTAGTTCCAGCTCCTGCCAACCTAGCAGTTTGAAAGCAAGAAATTGCAAGTAGATAAATAGGGACCACTTCAGTGGGAAGGTAACAGCGTTCCGTGCACCTTGGTGTTTAGTCATGCCGGCCACATGACCACGGAAATGTCTTCGGACAGCGCTGGCTCTTCGGCTTGGAAACGGAGATGAGCACCGCAACCCTAGAGTCGGATTCGACTGGCTTTCGAGCCAGGGAACCTTTATCTTTATCTCTGGATGAAAAGAAGAAACACGCTTCATTCCATATTCTCAATGCACTATTAAGTTGTCTCTCTCAGCTCCTAACAGAATGGCAGCCACCCGGAGCCGGTTCTCCCCACAAATCACACAGGTGACTGCTTGGGGCAACTCAATGAAGAGGGCCCGGATGTACCTGAGGGTGCTCAGCAATGGTCCCTCTAAGCCGTGGAGTCCTGAGAGCAAAAAATTCTACTTTGTGAGTTAAAAGGTAAAG